TTTATGAAAAACGCACGAATCGTTAGCATATAAATCGTATAAGTAGTTCTCAAACGAATTGCTCCGCGAAATGTGCGAGCGAGAATTCCAATTAGTCTCGAAGCGAGATGGTCAGACACGCGAAACCACCCTAAAGTGAAGGGATGCGTGCGCAAGGGAATTCGCGGGATCACGTGCAGCAATTGTCGAAAGAAAACGATGCATAATTTCCTGTTATTTAATCAGGCTGCCATTACGTCAGGCACCGTGGCCGGGTTACGCAATGCTGGGGAAAGTGCGGACCGTCTTGACCACCGGTGTTATGGTCGCTACTTCGCGACCTGGAATGAAATCGTTTGTTGATCGTTCGCCGGCCGATTGTTCGGATGAACGATACCGATCGGCTGATTAGCCGGGCCGTTTAACTACCGACACGCGGCAGGAACGTGGCCCGAAGTGGAAATATTTAGGGAAAATGGCTCGTGCATGCTCGATCAAGATTTCTTGCGAGCTATAACAAGCGGAGCGAGTGTTACGACAGCGATAACTTTTACCCCGGTTAGGTTTTTCTTCTCATTAGAATAAGGAACTACGGGAACGTGCAATTTCACAGAAGAATTTCAACCGAAGCCGTTCCTTTATTTTCGATTCGTACGAATGGAGGATAATATGGATTAAGCTCCGTTTGATCGAATCCTTTGGGTTTTGTTTCGTTGATCAGTTTATACGGTTCGTTGATTGTGAAAGACCACTTAAGGAACAGGCAGAAAGATAAAAGGATAATGTAGAATTGTGATTATTATAACCGTTGAGTTGATTTCTTTGGAAAATTAGCCAAAACGGGCATCTCGCGTGTATCAAGATTCGAAGTTTCCGTTACTGAAGCGTCTAAGATCGATGAACTGATTGTTTCGGAGACTTTAAAACTGTTCGGTCATTATGCAGTGTTAGTCGAAAGGAATTGTGAAACTCGGGGATGAAAACGTTGAAACGTTCGCTGGACCGAGGGACCGGTTTCTCTCTTCATTGAAACAGAAGTGTCGTGTTAGAACGCGTGGCGAGTCGGTCAGCCGGTTCCCGAGGCTGTCAATTGCCGAGCTTGTTGCTTTTTTTCACTCGTTTTTTACCGAGCAAGCCTGAGCGTCAGTGGAAAATCGATCGTAAACAGTTCGCGTAGATTGTTGACGCGATTCAGTCGCGAATTAGATTGATCTGCGTCAGCGAGGCGACTGCTGATGTCAATTGATCTCGGTAGATCTGCGGTATCAACGTGGAAATAAAAATATGCTGGATATCTGAAGATAATTATACGAGATACTTCTAAAAGAAAGATGCTTGGCAATTAGATGAGATTTTCATAACCTTACAAAAATAGTACAGCTGTTTTTAAAAGGAACGCGCGTGAACATTTCGTTAATACATTGGTATTTAGACTGTAGCTTTTCTTCGGCTTAACGTGATTGAAATATTCATTTTCGAAGACTTACCAAACTAAGGAACATCATTGCGTCAGTAACACGTGGCCATGTATGAATATTACATATTACTGAACGTAAATCAATTTTTTTATCGAGCTCTCCAGAAACAAACATCGGCGACAATGATTTTGAATAATTAGGCAATGAATCAAACCGTCGTTTAACGTAACAATCATCGCGAGAGTAATTCACACGGAAGCTATTTTAAATCTCGTTTCATTTAATTGCTCTTGACGGAGCCAATCTTTTTGCGTGTTTCGTCGAACAATGAAGACGAACGGAACGGACGAACTCGTTTCCAGGGCATGAAACACGGAAGACAGTGTCACGTTGTTAGCCCGACTTTCATAATTCGATTTTTTGTTGCGAGTAACAGTTGCCGAACCCGTTCGCCATAGGTTTCCCCCGTTGTTCTCCCTCGTAATATTGGTTTTTCCCGAAATTCCATCGTCGTGCAATAGATCTATGCCGCTGGAACACAACTGTGACGCAAGAACTCGTGTGAAACTCTCTTTCACGGGGAAATCCGGAGCTGTTAACTCATTCGAGACCAGAGTTCCTTTAAAAGATCAGGAACCAATGTTGTTTTATTTTGCATTGAAAATTTCGTTCAGATTTTTCAATCTTAGTTGGATCGTTAGGTATCACTAGGATTTTAATTAGAAATTACTAGGATTAGATATTACTAGGATTTTAATTAGAAATTACTAGGATTAGATATTACTAGGATTTTAATTAGAAACAAATGCATATTTCAATATTTCCACACCTTAAATTCATATATTTATTTGTAAGTTAATCATAAATTAATAAGTTCGGCAGTATTCTCACTGAGACAACGTGGAACTTCATCAAACCGCGGTTCTCTCATGATTAATCGAAAATTTTAATACTTTCGTTTATTCCTAGTAAACAAGTAACCGATCCACCAACAAGAACACGTTGCCCAAAGCAAACAATCACGCTAAGTGCGGCTCGCGAAACTCATATGTTCTTCGCAAATTAGCGAGCTTCCGCAATTGCAATTGCGTCACAATAAAAACAAACGGCGTCATGGAAGCTGGACGCAGCTGGCACATCGAACGAGAAGAAAATATTCTCATCGTCGTTCAATGTCATCCGCGGAAACTGTCTGAAACGGAGCTCGCGTGAATGTTTAATTAGTAAACGGAATAATTTCCAGCGGCAAGTTTTTCGTTTTGAAAAGAATATTTTTCTCACGACGTCCGAGCTTACCGATTTGAAGAAAGAATAATTAATGCGTCGTATGATTCGTTGACGTTTCCTCGATGATTCGGGACGCATTGAATCCCCGACTACGCGATTATTCTTTGGAACCGATTTTCTTAAGGAATATACACCGGAGAACCGACTTCGCAGAGATCCGAGACACTATCGCGAATGAAACGCACGATTTCAACGTTTCATATTTCACGCGGAATGAACCATACAAGTCAGTTCAAAGTACGCTTCGATATCACCGGCGATTCTCCTTTTATCCTACCATCGGAGTCGCCTGTTTCTTCTGTGATCGTTACAGGCAATTTATGCAAATCCAGATATTTCAAGAACTCTTTCCCGCTAATTGGAGATATCACTGAAAAAGTTGTACTTTCTATTGAAGAACTTCTATATAATAATCCTCCCCGGGTTACGGAACGAGCGGCGGAAAAAATTCACCGGATATTTTGTAAGAAATTCTTGTTCGATCGTGAATTCTTCGTGTCCGGAGTTCACCGTAACGAGAATATCGTAATGGTAACTGGGAGAATCGATGGGAGTTATATGGTTACGCCGTAAAACGGCGTCGGAGGTGTTGAACCCGCAGTCGGCGGGAACGAACGGCTCGGATTGAAAGTAGAAAGGTGGAAATTAGTGGAAACCTTTGAAATTTATTGGAAATCATAAGGCGAGTGTTAAGGAAAGTGCGGAGAAAGAAAGTGGTAACCTAGAAGCACTTCGGTAATCGGCTTCACGGTCACGATCGTGAACCGATCGAACGATCCGAGTACTTCTGATTCAATTTACAACCGAAGGGAAAAACGAGAACAGGTGGACCATATATGGAATTCCAAATCAGTCGTTAATTAATCGGCTATGAAATGTCGAGATTAATCGGACCGTTCGTTAACCAGTCGTTCGCGTTTCGTCGATGTGAATCATTAGCTACATAATTAATGGGATTACGATGGGTCATCGTACAGTTTCCCGTGAAACCGATTGCGACGCGGCCCGTGACTCACTCGATACATGAAAATCTCTCGATTACGCAATCGCGAAGCCATAAAGCGCCTTAAATGAAACCTTTTTCCTAATGGAATCTTCTTGCCCGTCTAATCTTCGCTGGCAGAGTGTCAGACTTCTCCTCTGCCTTCGCGGCAGTAAAACGAAAATCACAATCTTTGATTTTCTATTTGGACACGTCGCGGCTCAGAGTTCCTAGTATGAATATTCAACCGTGGGATTCGCTGCGTGTTTTTTCGCATTTTGAAAAGGAAGACGTCGTTGTCGCCGCGTTAAAAAATATTCTTCTCCTTTCACGTCATTCTCATAGATCACTCAGAGACTCAAAAAACACACTTGCATAGTTCCCAAAAAGTTCCGAACTTCTCGTTTCGACATCTGCATAATCCCACCGTTAACAAATAAACGTCCCATCGATTCGTCGAACAAAATTCTCCGAAAAACAGGGACATCATTAATGTTCTTTTGACACTTACATATCCACGCCCATCCCTAACACACGAGAACCTCAAAAATCCCGCGAATAAAGCATCTTCATCCAACTTCCTCCAAAAATGGAGAAACATTCACGAGAACCTCGTGCAAACAAAGCAAAGCTGAATAAATAAATACTCGCCCCTAAAAAACAGCAACACCGCAAACCTTTCGACTGAAACACCTCCGAACCACATAGAAAATCCCAAGCTTCGATCGATGGATCAAAAGGATCGCAAAAAGTCGGTGTCGCTCGAAATGTCTCCAGAAACGGAGAAACACTCACGAGAACCTTATACAAACAAAACAAACCTCAACAAATAAATACCCACCCCTAAAAAGCAGCAACCCGACAAAC